CTCCGCCTTTGCCTATATTCGGCCGCGTGCAGGAAGTCTACGAAACGACGGATGCAGGGGCCAGAAGGCCACCCAGCTACTAGGCCATTTCGGGTCGCAGAAGAGAGAAAGGACTCTGGAGGATAGCGCCTCTAAATGGTCGGCCAAGCAGCATTTCCAGCAAGATTACCAGTGCCAGGAGCAAAAAGGAACTGCTACTTCAGCAGCAGTAGTAAAAGGGGGCATTTAAATAGTTTCCGCCGTAGCGGTGAGAATTGATAACAAACTTTTGTTGAAGGACCGTCTGCTCGTCAACGACCATTTGCCTAGTAGATTAGTGCCTATAGTACTATAGCCTGACATTTTCTATCGTCGTATTTCCGTAATAGGTAATTGTGGGTCGGAAGAAAGCACCCTAACAGCCTTAGGAAATTGAGGCATTACACTATGCAGAGAAGAGGATCGGAAGAGAGACAGCCTTAGGGTACGCGGTGCGTGCCACCGCGAAGTGAAGTAACTTGTTTCGGTTGTTCCCTTTGTTTGCTCCTGCTCCGTGAAAAGCCGACCGAAATGATAGAGAGTTGATTTAAGCAGTATTTCACGCTTCTAATCCGCGTACGATGTATTGATGAGATTACGCACCGGTTTAGGTAAAAACAAAAATGGTAGATGCACAAATACAGAGCTATTTACATAGGATTTGATGTTTCAGACTTGGACTTTAGAAAAACTATTCCTTTAAGATCACGTAACAGTGATGTCCGTCCACAGACTTAAAAACATTTTGGGATTTTATGCAAATAAATAGTAAAGTAAATGCAGAAAGTATTTCGTAGATGACTGTATATTCATACTACTAAAATATGCAAAAAGATATATAGAAAATATGTTACTGCAGCATTATTATTAATATTACTTTGGTAACTACTCAATTGCTAGTAACTATGAAAGATTCTTTCGGTTTTCGCTCTTTTGAGCTTGTATATGTCTAAAAAACAGTGGCACCTATTTTTAAAAGGCCGAAAAAGAGTTTTCGAAAACCAGGCCAAACCAAAAACCCTATATAATCATTGTGAAGACGCAGAAGGGAAATCTAGGTCTACGCATATTGAATAATCACCTGCCGTATGAATTAAAGCAGGCAAGCATTGCCAATACCGAGATAACGCAAAACTTCGTAGAAATAATAGAACAGCAATTTGGCTTGATGCTGCAGCTCACCTGGTAAGGGTCGACCACCTAGCTTGCTAGAGCGACTGACTAATTTCAATCGGCCGACTATCATCGCTAGCCGTGGGATTTTATGCGGGGAAAAGGGTCGCGGATGTATTGCCCCGAGGGGCGACAACGCTTTCTTTGAGCAACGCTTCCACGAACATTGCTGGCTGTCGTCTTTGTGCGAAACTTATCGGCTCTTCCGGGCCAAGCTCCTCCCACGGGAGAGAATAGAAAATAAAACTAATGATTCGGTGATGCTGTTCCCTGCCTACATTTGGCACGCGCAGCCAAAATCTCCGAAAACGGCCTCGATGGGCGCTTCAACATCCCAACAGCTTTAAGCTGCAGCGCGTTTCTGGGACAAGGATTCGCTTGAGTCGCGCCGTCACAGCCTTTGTCTGCGTTATTTTCCATATATAGAATGGCGAAATCGTAAGGCGGAATAGTGATAAGTGTTAAAAGATTTAGCTAGCCATCACCTTAGGTATCGTTGCCCACCAACGTAGACTATCCAAGCAACCAAGGATTCCTAAACAGAAGGACGTTTGGAAGGCACATGTTTGAGAACGTTGCTTAAGTCACGAAGTAAAGGGGCCTGCAGGAATTTCCAGCAGGATCAGTGTAGGCTGCTTGACTCAGGCGACCACACTTCGTGGTTTACCGACCTTCTTTTCGTTTCAAGCTCAACGTGGTCGTCAATGAAATAATCCGATCCAGATTATTCACTGCCTTTACGGCCTCTAATTTCGGTACTACCGGCAGTTACCGACAGAATCGTCAATCCTGCTGCTGCTGCTGTCGCCGTCGCCGCCGCCGTTGCAAAGCAAAGGAGAGAGGCGGTAGGTGGCCAACGTCATTCTATGATTTTCGTTGGCGGAAAAGCTGGAAGACAGAAGGGGCCAACAGAGCAAGGCAAGTAGGCAACAAAATGAAAGGGCAGGGTAGCCTGTACCGCACAATTTGCCATCAATAAGGGTGAGGCAATGGTTTCAGTATCCAACTTTCTCTACACAGACTTCGATCATGAGACAAGAGCTTTGAGAATGGCCAATTAGTCTTATTCGACAGATTGTCGAATAAAGGTTGTAAAGCACTTTGGCTCAAAGTAAATAAAAAATAGACCCAATAAAGTGCCTCTATGTGGTTTTCAGCAGTTAAGGACTACCATTACGATAGTTGTATGAATGTATATATATGAATGAATAATATTATCAATACGCAGCTTGCTTTTATCAGCGTCATCCGTAATATTTAATCGACGTTATGAGTGGTTATATATGCCCGTTGCAGCATCGTATTTTGGTGTAGAATTCTGAATAAAATTACTCTGTCTTTATCTAATGACATGCATATATGTCTATATGGTCCGTACATAACATTTTATCCCCTTACATTTTGCTAGTCTTTACAGCAAACCTGGTTAATCGCGATACCCAATTAGTAGATGGTAGCTGACAATATTGAGACAATTGACATCCTACGCGGATCGTACATATTCGGCAGCGTACGAAGTTCCTTTCAGACCATAATATATATACACTGGCAAAGAGCGCAGCTGACTTGTCTAACCGTGGCTTAGTGGTCAATCGATGGCCCTACCACGCAACGGTGTGATCGTGCTATGGGCTATAAAGAACCTAGGCCTCGATTGAGCCTCTTCGCTCTGTCACTGGCTAACCACCTACCCGCTTATCGATCAACTAACTCGACCATGCTCGGATAACAATCTGCTTGGCTTGTTAACCTCGTGATTAGTTAGTTCATGAGCTAACTAATCACGAGCGTCCACAGTCCACCAAGCGAGCCTTAACGTGCGGTCTGCACGTAGCTTCGAATTCGGGAACTCACTTCAATTAATCTTCCATAAAAAGACAGATTCTTTTTTCGTTTCCGTTCCTCTGTCTCTCCACGCTCTCGCCTACGGCTAAACGCAGCATCTCTCACACGTTAATACGAGTGGCGATTGACACATCACTGACAAAGTCAGAGTAGTAGCACCTACAGAAAGAAGTAAGAGCTACAACCGAAATAGTCGAGCAGCGGTACTTGCAACATAATTACTAGTAGTTGTATTTAGTAGTAGGCCGAACACGTGCTGAGAAAGAACCCGATTGGACATGCTGGTTGGGATATAGTCTGGAAATCCAGACGTAAGGTTCGACTTTTAAATTCTACGCGAAAGCGGGGGTGTTGCCGACGGAAGCAAGTGAGGTACAGATGGGGTTAAACGGGGGTGTCTCCAATCTCGGTTCAACTTTACTGGCACTATTATGATTCTGCTTCCATCTGCGCTTTACAGATGACTAAAGAGATCCTCAACACCATTGTTACTAAAGTAGAAATATCATTTTCCCAGGTGGATTAGTTTTTTCAACTGGACACAGATAAATGGATACGGACATGTTCCTCACCCATCCATAGAGAATTATCCGATAATCTGCGCGGTGTATGTATGCAAAGGGGACATATGATTACGAGCTCACATTGTTGCTGGTTCTGCGTTTGCTGTTCTCACTTCCGATGCTAGTACTATTAAAACGAACGGGGCTGCAAAGCCTGTGCTTCTCCTGTGCGGGGGCCTAGGATGGGGTTGTTTCCGCCTCAGGCATTCTCAACCACACTTAAGCATCATTAGTAGTAACAGTAACTTAGGCTAACGTTATTCCCTGTTGCCCACATCTAGTAGCACGTAGTGGTCGAAAAGAGTCCAGCCAGCTCCGCGTGGCTGTGTACTGCTTGCGGAGCAATGTAGGTACGTATGCTCGCGACTCTACCACGCGAACGTTCGATCGCTTGGCCTGTCAGTGTCTACGCGTAGAGAACGACAAGCTTTTAAGCTTCAGCGTACCTTGTCCCCACTCGTTACCATTCAATGCCATTTCATTGCTTTTGTCCTACTGTTACCAGTGTGGGCAGACATGTGTACGAAGAGCAAGCCGGACAAGTTGAGGCTTTCTATCGATAGCAAAATAGTCCCTAGGTGTCAGTGGAATTTATAGTTGCGTGCATGGCGTATACCTACCTGTATGTAGCTGGAAGAGACTATGAATAAGTATGTAATTAATAGTCAAAAAGAAGCAGCAGCAGTTATATGAGGTCAGGCAGTGAAGGAAGAACAGTAGAAGTAAACGAAAAAGTTTTAAATCATCGGTATTTGAGGGATGAAGTTGCAGAGCATTCGACAGGTAGGTATTATACAGGAACGCAAGGTTAGAGTTTGCTTTCCCAGTTCGTCTTCGTCGTTCGGTCAGTCGTTTGGTAAAGACAGAAATGGGCTAAGTATATGTACGCAGCCAGCAATAACGGCACGGGAACACCTGATAAAAGGTTCAAGCTGTATCCTCTAGTTTTTATTCGTGAAGATCCGTGACGCACAATATATCATGTTATCATTTGTTATAGTTATAACATTAAAAATATGTTACTTCAACTTGTATGACCTTTATCACCTCTACGACCCACCTATTAATATTAATTAATAGGGTCAAAAGGAATGTGAGCAGTATCATGAAATTTATATGCATAAAAAACAACTATCTATTATATACTGAGGCCAATGTACCTCAGTAGGTCAAAAAAAACTACGTACAACGATAATAGTACTACTAATGGCCCGCTTAAAAGTGGATCTTTGCGTTATAGCATTATGAATGCTACTGACAGCCGCAAATCGTCACAGTCATACCATTGATTATACGTTGTACTTTTTCATTCAACGAGCAAGTATTTGCTAATTATTATTGCTTCACATGTACATCTATGTATGTGCATGTCTGTTTTTGCATCAGTACCCGTGCACCTACCTGGTTCCATGGGCGTTTGAATATTAGGGACGCCACGGTTGGAGGGTTGATCAGGCTGCACGATTCCGATCAACAGGACAACAAACGACAGGGACCAGCAGCTTTTGGTCCCCGCAGAAGAGCCCTGATCGGCCTAGCCTAACGAGTTGCAGGTCGTCAGTGGCAGGCCGCGGCTTCAGGTTCGTGATTTGTCCTCGTCGGCGTCGTAGTCACCGTCGTCGTAAATATTCTTTATAAAGCTGTATATCCGTAGTGTGTTGTGGCTGTGTTATCCTATTCGATTTTTTTCAAGACTATCCTTCTCGCGTTCACGCTGTCCTTTTTCCCTCTTGCAGACTTTCGTTTTTTTCTATTGCGCGTCCCTTTTTGACGCTAATTTTTCCTTCAACTATACTTTTTTCGTTCTCTCCCTTTCTCTTTCTCCGCCAGGTTGGCTTTGATAGTAGCAATATCGTCGTTGTAACCTCTCCCGTGCTGCTCTTGCCTTTATGCCCAGCACCTTTATTGTAACGGACTGCTGTTTCTTCAAGAGCTCTACGTCTTCGACAGTGTCAAAAAAGGTCTTAGTTGAGCCTTGTCGCTATAGCTCTTGTTTCCTACTGGGTCTAATTGTTAACTATCACTGTTTTCTGCAAAATTTAAGCCTTTGCTCGCTTCCGCCTCTATGCGTCTCATGCGACTGATAACGACCTATTTCAACAGACCAGTTGGCCGGATTTGTTATTTGTTTTTACCCTCACGCTTTTGGCTGAGACGACTTGCGAGCTAGTTTTTCGAGACTCGCCGAAATTGAGTCGTCACTGTCTCCAAATGTCCAGATATTCGACCAGCTGACCTCAGCTGGTGTTTGGCGGGCGGCAGTCTTCAGTTTTAACTGCTGCTGCCCCTAGTAGTATTCGTGGTGGCAGCTCCCCTTCTTCTTCGTCGTCTCCTTGAACTTCTGTTGCTCGACAGCACAACACCAGCGCTGGTCCTGCGGCGGTGGGGGTAACCCGTGGGTGGTAAACGCTGCCGCTGCTGCGACTCGAGCTGAGTTGCTCTAATCCACCAGCGGCGCTCCGCTCCACCGATGGGTGCCTTCTAGGCGATCGAGGCCGGGACATGTTGTCCGACCCACAGCAACAACGACGCGGCTGTAGTTGTCGATGGTAGCCACGACAAAAATGGAGATATTACTGATGATGACAAAGATAATGATGATGAGAAGGATGATAACGACGATAACGCGTACTGCAAAGACAACGAAGGTAATCGCAGCCAGGGATCCTGTTGAGCGCCAAACTCTTGAAGGCGTCTTGCAGCACTACTCGTAATGCTACAATAGTTACCGCGTCCCGGGGAGCGAAGTGATGTCAGCTCGATCACCCTGGCTAGGGTGCACATCGTGATGTGTCGTTGGCCTTATATCGAAGTAGAAGCTCCCGCGGGAGGTAGGCTCAACTGTGCTTCCCTATCAATCGAACGTCGTCCACGCGCGTCATTCACCGCTACCAGAAAATTCTGGAGAATGAAGACGTCACTGGTCGCCTTGATGTTGGGCTTTCTCAGGCCGGGAAAAGTCGTTTCTCTGTGCTTGCTGTATCGTCTTTTAGTTCTAGCTGCACCTTTACAAGAAATACGCCTGCGATGGCAGCTTTGGTAACTCCCTCGTCGTCCCCAACTGGAACTCTGACGTATTTTACCTGATACCGGGCCGTTTCGTTCGCCCCACAAATGATGATTCTCCCACCGGTAATATCTAACTGTTTTAGCTGTTTTCACTCGCAGTGGGGTTGTTCGGGCGGCTACGGTAAAACGGGTATATCAGTCGAGAGGGGTCACTTTCTTTGTCACGTTTGTGCCTCCTTTCCTTCGCTTTTACCCTCGCGCCGCTGCAAAATGCTTCGGTTATTGTAGATGCGATTTGTCGAAGAGAGAAGCCGAGAATGGAAAGGTAGTCGCATAGCTCATACAGTTACACCTTCGTATTTTTCTTATTATAATTGTATTTATTTTACTATCATACGTATTCAATATTGTAGTTTATTTTTCCTTCTGTCGTTGATTCCGTTGTTGTCTGACCACAGTGAATAACTGATGGTTATCCTTAATTATACCATGATGGTATTCTTTGTCTCGATAGAGTTACACGCATATTAGTCCATACGCCACCGTCAGCGTACTGTAAAAAGCACCGCATAAAGTCAGGAACCCACCGCAACGAGTTTGCTATTGTTGATCTTGTCCTGTTTGTCGTACTAGCGAACAATACTATGATATTTGCTAGATTATTAATGCTAGTAGAAATTCTCCGTATTACTGGCTTTGATGTTAGTAGCATGTAATAGTAATACGCGAAGAGCTGAAGTAGTTGTTGGGGTGCTATATCTCTGAGGTCTTTTACGCTCGTAATCTGTTTCGCTACTTCGATGAAGGAATCGAATAATGCAATGACAATTGTATTATTGTCTCTTCTCACGACGACTCACTGATGACGAAGCGCAAAAACATCATCTATTAGAACAGCGTATGAATAAATGTGAGATAATATAATTCTTCTTATGCTGCTACGTTTTATCTTCAATATTAGATTAGCCACTTATTATTTACTATGGCAGGTTGGTCTGCTTGCGGTTCTTACAGGTGAACGAAGAGGAAAATATCCTGCGGAAGTACTATCGGTCGTCGGCGGTAGTACGTTCAGATAAGTTCGCGAATATGAGCTGTAGTTAGTTTCATTGGTTGTATGAATATCGTTGAGGATTGTAGAAAGTTCCTAGTAGGGAAGTGGTCTGAAGATTGATGAAGCAGGTAACAAGCCCAGGATAGAATGATGCTTGCCGATATCGTCTTGCACTATAATAATTACAATTACTTGTGTGATTTCTTTTTTTTTTTCGATATTTGTGACGGACGTTTTCATGTAGTGTTATAGCGTTTGTTATAGTTGTAGCGGTAGCGAAGGATGAAGCCAAGATCCGCAATGGTAAGCACACTGACCGATCATTATTAATTACCACTCTTGATAACATTTATTACCATAGATTCACCAACTTCACCATTATCAGCACTGCACACAAAATCACTATCGAGCCGGCGGTGCGTGACAAGAATGACAAAACTGATTATTTCTAATTATCACCAGACCATTTAATAAGCACAATTAATGAACCACCGTCGAAAGATACTGCAACAATTACTCTGTAGCAATTGGCGCTATGCTTTATCCTTTGCCGTTTTTCAACCAATTTTCGTTCTCTGATCTCACTGTTGCCAGAGCACGGGCTCATCACTTACAAACGCTTTATCCAGAACTCTGTCCTTATGCTGAAGAGGCCACGTTGCGAGAATACAGTGCGTCGCGTTGCGCTTGTTTCCGATAGAAGAACGAACCGAAAGATTATTCTACGTTCCTCGTCGCGATGTCTGTGCGTTTGTTGTTGATGCGGTTAGCAAGGTAATCGAAAATGAAATACAAATTCATAAAGGCCATAAAAACCCATTCGAACCAGCTGACCGGCAGTAGGTTTCTACCTATTCCGACGACTAGAAGCTTTCGTAATTGGCACAAGCTGTCTCTCTATCGTCAGCTATTAATACCCGCGTATTTGATGAAGGTGGTCGGTAGCCGGGGGACCGAACCTGCCTTTTCGGTTGAAGAGTTCCTTGCAGGCTTAGACCTTTTGGTTTTCGTTTACCTCCACTTTTAGCCGCCACCTGGCCACCATAAAGAACGCGGCTATAGCGCCTAAAACGGCGCCGGGAATTAGACTGACACAGCTTAATTTCTCTATTTGTGTTGTATCGTACTTAGTAATCGTTCCTTGTTTCCGAGTCGGTAACGCTTTCGCTTTCCATTTGTCGACACTCCATCGTTGTCTACTACTGGCAGTTGCGCATCACCATCCTGCTAATCAATACGCCACACACTCACGAAGAAACAGATAAATACAGACTCGAGACGGACTCCCAACTGCTGGGACTAGTGACGGAGTCATCCCTGCTTCTGCAGCGTCTTGACGTCTCCAGCATAGCAGCGTAAGAACGGCACTGTCACTCGCACAATCGTGGCGTCCCCGATCCGATACGGCATTCGTATCAGTATAGAAATTGCAGCTTCACTATTTGGATCGTCAGCACGGGGTCGGGCCATTGAGTAAGATGCGACTGGATTTTCACCTTGCACTCTATTCGCACCATACTAACGAGCGAGTACGAGGCATAGCCCACTATCGTATAGAGCAGTAACAATAAGAATAATGATAATCATCGTAGTCAAAATGGTACTAGTGGCAGCAGTAGTAATAATAACAGTATTAATGCTATTGATACTTGGAGAAGACTTCGTGCACACCTGGCACGCTGTCTCTTCACTAGGTCGCTTTCAGCCGGTTTCGCTGCCGCGTTCAGCTGGTTTGGCTGCTGGCAGACGGACGCTGGGGCTGTCGCTGCTCCAGTTGTCTACAGCTGCTGGTTCTATGGCGGAAATCGCTGCCGTTGCTTTCAGCTCGTTCCTGTTTGCTGCTTGTGGTTTGAGAATCGTCGTTAATGCGATAGCGGCAGTAGCGGCAGCGGTAACGGCGACGATGGTGGTTGTCGGCGCTGGCCGATGGCTTCACTTGCCGCTCACTCCGTGGCACCACTCTACCACTGCTGCTTGCTTACGGGAGTGAACGGGGAACTGCAAGGGGTTGGGGATAAACAGAGCATAGCACCAGCGGGTAGGGAGTACAGGACCTTTCGTCTCCCGCCAACGCCTCTCGATTCCACGGCGAGAAAAAGCCCTCACTCTCTTACTAGTGGCATGAGTTCACTTGCCCTTCACCCTCCTCAGCCTTGCCCTCGCATATGGGGACGGACTCACTGACTGACAGGCGACGATGGGGAGAGAAGGAAAGAGAGGGTGGAAAGTACTAAAAGGGCGAAGCGGAAAACCAAACAAAGCTATGTGGCAAGCCCTCTCCTACCTGTCCTCGCCATATTCGAACCCCTCGCCTCCCCCGATACCACCAACGTCCCAACGATGGCAGTAGTAGTCGGCCTATATTGGGAGAACGGCAGCATCAGCAGCAACAGCAAGCGGAACACCACGATCTGTTCCATTATCTCATTGTATCAACCTCTATGGACCCCCAAAAACCGTTTATGTTAACAAGCTCTTGCAACAATCAGCAGCGCTTTATGGGTTCGGCTCCCATGTTGCACACGAAGCTAATTCCCCTTTTTATTCCGCCATGCTTTGCCAACTCCCTCTATCGACTAAGTGCGTTGTAGAGTTACGCCCGCTGTCCATGATACTGTCAAGTGGTAGAACATTTGAACGAATCAACCGATGGCAGAAGCATACAAACCATGTGCTTACTGCCGTTTCTGAGTGTGAGTACTTGTGCTTCTACTGCTACTGCTACACAGAATTCGGGTGAATAGTTGGTGTGAGAGACCCGAAAAAGGCCGGGGGGAGGGGGGTCATGGCGGACAGCTATCCCTTTCAATTCAATGAGTCTGGAAAGCGACACCAATGGACATGCCTTCTCCGCTCGTTGTAGCTTCGATACGCAAACCAAGCTGTAAGGTAGCCGGAACAGAAGCAGTCCCTTACCTTACATTTTATAGTTTTCTTTATCTTTGTGGAGCTTCTCGCTCGTATAACTAGAGATCCTTTAAAAAGTCATCTGTGGCTCCTGTTGTCGGCACGAACCACATTCCGGCACTTTGACGGCGACAGACAGCGCAAGGCTCGTACAAGCTGAAGTGTAATGTACCAGAGCGCCCATCAAAAGCTCGGTGCTGCTCAGCCATAGCAGCTCTCTTAGCAGTAGCAGCAGAAGCAACTCGTTCCTAACGCGAAAACGATATACGGCTTGGGCATGCTAGCACTGCCGCGTTACGACGTCCAGTACCTCGTGCTGGTGTGCTAGACAAAACGCGTATAATATCATGACTATGGTCGGCTGCTAGTCAGCTCAAACTGGTTAACTAAACTGTCCCCATGATGGCGTAGTGGGTTACGTGTTTGCCTATTAAATCTACAGGACGCGTGGCGTTCAGAGTTCGAATAGGGGCGTAAGCGCATTTCGTTTCGTGCTGGGAGTTAGGTGTCTGATGGAATTCCTGACGACGGTACTGGATATACGACTCGAAAGATTAGGTCAACTAGGCTGGCTTTGCTGGACCGTCAGGCGGACCTCTTTTAGCCAGGCACTAGTTGTTTGCGGAATAGACCGCCACCTTCTCCTCACTGCAGGCCTCGTTCACCGATAAACAACTGCAGTGCGTAGAAACTGCGTTGGAAGAATGTATTCAGATTCGACGCGGCATAAGCAATGGCATAAGAATGGCTAGGTCTACGTCCTCAATACGTCTACGCAATCAAAACACTATGGTGCATGTACTGCTGCTGCTGCAACTGGAATGCGACTGCAGACCGCGTTCTCAAGCCATCGGCTCCAGTAACGGCTGTTCCCCAGTAACAAACGAACAAACAGAAACATTTGAAGGGTGAAGCAAGCAACAGTAGCAGCTAAACATGGTGAACCATCCTGGCAAGCCAAAATAAATTTTTTCTCGATTTAAATGTCCACCCAAAATGCACACTTATCCCCCACCATTGTTTTTCAGAAAACGGGGGCAGCGGGGGAGAGCAATGTTTTTCTGTAGCTTCATGTAGCCATTCCCTAAGTATAATCGTTCCTTCTTTAGAAGCTATCTATTGCAGAAGCACAGCCCAATGGCCATCACTAAACAGTACAGTATTGTCATCAACAGAAGCTGTCGATTTCCTTTTTTATAATCCTAGCATCAGCGTGGCTAAAACGTGATAGCAACGAGACAAAAGAGCAGGACGGCCCGATAAGTAGTGGCGGAATAGTTTGAATATCAACCTATTAGAAACGTCTGCATAGTGTTGTGGCACTAGACAGTCTGACCGTTACGAAAGAGACCATGTAAAGCATAATCAAGCAGATTCTTCCTGGCCTTTTACCTTCTTTCTTCTGCCTGGTTCGCGACGTCAACTTTCGGCGATGACCCCATTTGTCCGAGTAGACCGACAAGGAAAGAAGGAGAGAGGGGTGCAGAGCTGCCGCTTTGGTGGGCCAAAAAAGCAAGTACCGGTCAGAGTAACGGTTATTGTTGTTGGGCTCTGTACAGCCCTACCGGCAAAAGAGGTTGCAACAGCGGCAACCGCTCTAACGGTAGCCACCGGAACTAACTGGAATAAAACAATAGTGCTATGGCTGGGTGGACGATCCACTAGATCTATCAAGGTCACGCGTGCCTCCGAGCACTTTAAGGCTCTATTGGCGCTATGATAATTTAGTGTTCGTGCTAGGAGTTGTCAATGTAGGAGGAAAAGTCGGCTGAGAATCAAGTCGCTAGTTGAAGTCTTTCAGGCTTATTTAGGTAGGCAGGGGAAAGGGGGAGGGACAGCTGCAGTGGGTAGGCTCGCTTCGTGATAGCTAAGCGGTCTTTAGTTGTCTTAGACGCTGTGGTGTAGGTTCGAACCCGCATATAGGCAAGCTTTATTTTATGCTGGGCGCCAGCCGTCTGTTTGTCTCATGGAGGCCTGATTAGGGCAGTTACAGTGGGTGACACTTTGCGCATTGAAGCGCCAATCTTGCATGGGTCATCACGTCATGGAGCATTATTAGATATACTGCTTTCAAGTTTAATAATGCTAGGACTGGTATTCAATTATATTCTTACATTACTGGGTCGCGGTAGGCAAAAAGGCATAGCGCGCTCTAACTACATCCAACAGTGATCCTGTGACTCATGTTACTATCATTAAAGCTATTAGATTGTTATTACTGTGAAAGGAAATCAGGCGAGAGGCAGGAAAATATGCTAAGCCGAACCCAGTACGAGGTCTGTAATCTGCGGAGCTTTATCAAATAAAGATGGTTCCTGCCGCACTGAGCCTTCTCAACCCTTTCTTTTTGAATGAATGGATTTATATGTACAATCCATAACACAGGGGTTGCTGCCGTATATACGACAATTGCCGCACGCGAAGATGTCTGCTCACCTATACAGATCTATTCGAGGTTGCTTACTACTGAATGGCCGCTTAAACATCAATACAACGATACCGTTGTCAATGACTGTCGTGATAACAGGTCGGGACGAACCAATGCCATTGGCTGGCTTCGTACGTGTTCCAATGATGGTAACGTGATGTAGTGGAAACAAAGCTTAGCTTTAAATTGAAACGCTTAAATAGCAAAACTCATGCGCACTTTAATGCATCAACATTATATACATTAACAATAGTTAATTAATGCTACTGAATAATGGAATAACAGTAGCATTGTTTGCAATACCATGTAACGGCCTAGGCGGTTGAAAGTGTACTTTTTAAAACAATTCACCAATTAGGACAAAAGTCCTTTTCCTGAAATCGTTGAACACCTGTCCCCGATACAGGCACTTGCCGTAGACTGAAAAAACACGCATGAGTCTTGTGTGAGGAAGCATTTAATAAATACGTGCCAAAGAATTACCAATTGTACTAAACTAGGAAAAATGAGGACTTTTAAAATTATTGGCTTTAACATTTATTCTACTTGAAAACACCAATTCGCCAGGTTCAAACAGGCAATGATCGTGCCTCAGATATCTAAGTACTAGGTAGATAAACCGAGCAAGCGACTACCTTACTTCGCTCCCTAAACGATTGCTTGTAGTGTTCGCCCATCGCTACGAGCACTGGAATATGTCTGTGTATACGGTAGACTTGAACAGTAAGCAAATTTTGGGCCAGGCAGTATGTCGATATAGGATAAATTTTGATTCCCGCTAGAAGCGCTGCCCTGATCGAATGACAACTGCAATTGTTATCTATACGCGCTTCTTCAGAAGCAATTGTTGCTCTGATCAAATTCCGCTCCGAAGCCTTTGGTCGGAATAAATCATGTGATTCTATACAATTAGCTTTATATGCTCTTCATTTACTATTTATTTGTACGCTGTAACGAACAGTAACAGATACACGAGAATTCCAGGTTAACGGATAGCCATGACCCGGCGAAAAATGTGTGTAAACAAGCTAGCGCCCCGCCATTTACAGCCTATGCCTTAGAGGCAAACCAAGTCAACCAAAGAAATCGGCACGAACGTATGATTTTAAACATATGATAGTACCACCTGAACGCGACAAGGGCATAGACCCAGGGGTATTCTGATAATCGCTTTGGTGTTAGTGGCGATTTTCGGATTTGACGCGAGTTCTTCAGATCAACTTACTTTTTTTAAATGATTTTAAGACGCTCATTTTTTCGTTTACTTTGTTTG